TCGTGATGTGCGGGATGTGGAAGTTTTTTCTAGCGGTCAAACATTGATTCATGGGCTAAATCAAGGGAGTTCTTTTGTTTCTTTTCATATTGGGTTCTCTTCTTGATTCGTGTTTAGAGTTATCAAAGTTTTTTGGACACACAAAAATGAAAATGTAAGGGATTCGGCTAACATTAACTCCTCATGTCATCCTATGACATGAGTCTCGACTAGGACACCTACGGTGTTTCATTTGAAAAATTGATAGTTTCTTCCTTCTAAACTCCCTCACACGCTGACCCAAACCTACCATTGCACCTCCGTCAATTGCACCCCATAAGATTTAGCTAATTTTGGAGTCAAAATTTAACTTTAAAGTCAACTAAATTTTATGGGGTACAGATACAATTGACAGAGTTTGAGAGTATATGTGGGACGGGCCAGGGTAGGAGTTTACCGGAAGGATATGAACTATAAATTTTTCAAACGAAGTAGTAGATGGACCCCGAATCAGAAGAAACTTGTGAAGATGGTTTGTGCAAAGGGGCGACAAGGACAAGTTGGAGGGGAATAGGGAAAGATAAGGTTTGTCTTGCCCATGTTGTCTAACCGCTACTCATCTTGACTTTTGGTGTCCCCTCCCAATGTCTGTCGTGCAGAAGAATTTTGAGGTCTATTCTTAACCTTTTTTCTTTTAATTATTTATTCCATTCCATTCATTAAATAAAACAAGAAAAACAATTAGCAGTAATAATCTCCCAATTTATTAATGGCTTTAGGTACTGTAGAAGAAGAAGAAGAAAAAATGAATGCCCTGTATTTGCGGCAAAACATAAATACGCTCCCCTCTCTTTCCGGGGCAGATCTAAACGTGACGTCAACCATGCCCAGGATATGCATTCACATCATAATTTAGAGATTAATTAATTAATTACTCTAAGTGTGAAAATTTTGTTGATGTAAATTTTGATTTTGATTTGTGTAAAAAAAATATTACATAAATTTAATATTAATATATATTCTAATTGAGACGTAATTTTCATATATCATTTTTTTATAAAATATATCTATGCATAAATATAAATATTAGTGGTCAAAGTGCAATATTAAAAACCATAAAAAGTCAAATAAGAAGAATATCCGGACGGAGAGAGTAGTTAAAGTGTCTTCATTATAGATATTAGTGGGAGATGTATCCTCTCCTCCCCCCCCCCCTTTCGTTTCCATCCCTTTTCTCTTTCTCAAAGATATAGTGTTGGCGGATGTGGGCGATGGTAAGACTGGCGAAGATGGTGAGGCTAGCAGAGACGGTGGGACTGACGATGGTGGGGGCTGGGACAGTGGTCGGTGCTAGCGGAGATGGGAACTAGGCGGTGGTGGGCGACAGGGAAAGGTATTATGTAGTAAGGGCATTTTAGGCCTTTCACATGCTTGGTCAATCTTCATTAAAAATGGCCAAAAGTCAAAACGTGTATAAGAGAGGTTGGAAGGGTTGAGCTTGTTGTAGGCAGAGTAGAGGCAGGAAATAGTAATTATTTTGGAATCAAACGGAATGTCTAAGAGAGTGTTTGAGAGTGATTAACTTATGGATTAAGTGATTTCCACAAAAGCTGAAACCATAAGCACCTCATACCTGCTTCTCCGAAACGATGTTGTAGGTACAAAATAGTGGTGGTGAAAAGTAGAAGCTGACATGCCAAACAGAGTAAAATCACTTCCACTCAAAGCAGAAACTAAATTATTAAAAGGAACGCACTCCCAAACACCATCTAAATACTTTTTTCAAGTGTGATATTGGCTCTATTACAATATACTCTTTTTGTCATATATTAAGTTGCATGTTCAATATTTAGATGGTCAAATTTTAATCACGTTCATTACCTATTTTTGATACTCATTTGATATAAAAAATATAGTTATATCATTTTGTTTTATAGAAATTTAGATGTAATTTTCAAATATACAAATTTTATTTTTACATCTTGTACCAGTTCTCATATAAAATAAATTAAAAATAACTTCAGTCAAATTTTATAACTAAAATGGACAACTTAAATTTGAACAAAAAAATAATATTTTCTCATACTAGTAGGTGATCGATATGAAAAACAAAAAGAATTTTAATACAGCAATATCCACAAATATTTTCTTCGAGAAATGATCGGGTAATGATTAAGTTAATAATCAATAGGTGATTATAAAATAATATGCCAACATGATCTTACCTTATCATTTACCTAGTAAATCTTTAAAATCTTTGACAATTATTCAAAGAGTAAAATATTAATTTCCATTACCCCAACTTATGTATTATGTACTTGTGTCCTTACCTATTATTCATTGTATGTATTTTTTTTAATAATATTTTTAATATCCATGGACTTACACTATATTTCGTTCAAAAACACTATGAAGGAAGAAAACGAAATAAATTTCTCTCGTTTTCTTCACAATTACAGAAATTTTGTTTTCCTTATTACTCTTAGTACATTGTGTCTTTTCATCTGTTTCCTTCTACTTTTTCTCTATAATAAAAGATTATTTTTCATCTCATTTTCTTTTCTTTCGCTTTTAAATTCACTGAACTAGTGTAACAGTGTTAGTATTTATGCCACATTTATACAATACAGTAATATTCTTGGCAGACATTTTATTTTAGTTTTAACACCTAATATTATATTAGAATATGATATTCGTTCGTTTGAATTTTTTAAGTGATTAGTTTAATTCTAAAGTGGTTCTTAGAGCATTGGCAATGGCGACGCATTGCCTCGCCTTTCCTTGCCATGTCACCATAATCCACCAAAAGGATGACATTTCACTAGCAATCCTCCCCTCATTCCAATCTATGTGCGGGGCATGGCTCCCTATTTTTTATTTTTTTTGTTTATTTATTTTTTTATTTTGGAAAAATAAGAATATTTTTTATAAAATAAGTAGACATATTTAATGATAAAATAGATATGTTTAATAAGTAGACATTTTTTATTAAATTCTAATAATTACCATGATTTTAAAAATGTTTAAAAAGTGATAAAAACAATGAAAACTACATATAGTCATTCAGAACGCTTAGCTAAATAAACATTAGCCTATAGCAAATATGTCCTCCATCCCACAAAACATTATCTGTTTTGACTTTTAAGATGTGAAAATGTAGAAGTTTGACACAACCTAACGACAATTGAAACGAGTAAGACTCGGAAAATATCAAAGTGGATAAGTCATAGAAGGTACGTAGTTGACATATATCCAGTAGATTTATGAAAAGTATAGGCAATTATGTTCATTTAACACAAATTAAAATTTTTATGGGACAAGTGAGATGTGAAAATTGAAAAGTCGCTCTTCTCCACCTTGTCTTCTCATTCATCGTCATCCCCCAAAAAAAGTAAGGGCATTTTTGGAAAATCAATAATATTTTTTCACTTCCTTAAACATGCTCCAAATTCAAGACAGACAATATAAAATGAAACGGAGGGAGTAGTTCAGAATGACTAGATTTTGAACTTAAAATTTTTTTCGTGCGACAAATCTTATCAACCAGTTGAGCCACGCATCGTAAGATAAAGGCAACCTTAATGTATAACCTATATATACATGCAAAGAACATAACGGAAGTAGAAACATGAAAACTTACCGGGTTTGGTCTACCATGTGACATTGCTTTTCTTCCACAACTCTTCTAATGTCTGCCCAAGTTTAGATTTAATTTGTCTTAACGTGGCACTTAATTCTTCACCAGTCAATATTTTTTTGGAAAGAAGATTAGATTTGCACGCACCATTGTTTTTGTCTTTGAATAATTTAAAATAAAATATTAATGAGCTTAATTGGATGCGGTTATTTCGTAATTATTTTATGCTTTTTTTTTTATTATATAAAAAGCAATAAGTTTGATTTATGAATTTCACATTCAAAGAATTGAAGAACTCTTATGGCGTCTCTTTCCGGCAACACATAATGTGTGTGTTTTTTTTCACTTTTGTAAAAGAAAAAACACTTTGAAAGTGCAAACTTGTTTGGCTTGTCTTTTTTTTTCTCAAGATTTTGCTAAGAATTGAAAACTAGCCATATTTTATCATTCATACAACCCTTTGTCCAAAAAAAACTCCACTTTCTTTTTATAAACAAAAAAATGTGATTTTTTTTTTAAAAAAAATCTACTTCACATATTACAACTACTCTTTTTAATTTTTCAATATTTTTCTTAAAACTCCATCCAGTTGCTCCGTATGTTTTTTTAACAAATTAAATTTCAAAAACATTTTTTTGAGCAACATCTCTCATGTAACAAAGAAACCTACTTAAACAAGGCAAATTCTATGGAGGACCTAAGGTCCACTATAGACCTACATATGAATAAAATAAGCATTTTTTTTAATTAAAAAAATAAAAAAAGATTTTTTATGTGAAAAAATCTATAAAATGGCAAGCACCCACAGTGCCTCAGCTCATTGAAGCATTCCTTAAACAAAACTAAAACATACAAAGTATGGAGTATGTTTTTTTATATTCTAAACAGAAGTGTAGTTTGATACTGCGTGTTGTCATTTCACAGCAATTTTTAGTATTATTTGACATTACAAATCAAGTATTTTGACATAAAAACATTGAACACCCATATTTTGATATACTCGTATGAAGGGCAATGTTAGGGATACAACAACATGTAGTACCCCATTTGTACACCAAGCCAACACAGACATACAGAGACACATAATGTCTGTGTAGTACAGACATTTTGTGTCTGTGTGTGTTTGTGTTGGCTTGGTGTACAAATGGGGTACCTCATGTTGGTGTACCCTAGGTTAATTCTCGTATGAAACATGTTTTGGTCTGAAAAAAATGGCGTTTTCGGCCACCAGCCAAACACATCCAATATAATTTGTGATTTTTCACATTTTTAGAAATTACGTGTGCATTCAAACCAAACCTTCGTAACAAACAATGTGAGCCATACCAAGAATTACCACATACAAATCTTTCATATTAATAGACATGAAATGACCAGTCCCCATTTCTGGGAAATCTCTTTCTTTCACCAAAAAAAAATAAAGGTCTCAAACATATGCGTACACGCACAAGGCATTATATAAAAAAAACGGGATGGTTCCCGGGACGGTTCCCATGACATTGATAACATTGCCGGGCAGATAAAAAAAATGCAAATTTATAGGCAATAACAGAAAAAAAACAGAGTTTGAATTTGAATCTGATATGGTTACCAAAAGCAACATAATATTATGTGTTGGATCTAATAAAAACCAAACCCAAAAAAAAACAAAGAAAAAAACATGGGAATTTGCAGGATTTTTGCGGGCCCCTTCTATACTCCTAGGTTGTCCCTGCTCGTATCCATTAGAATCTCTAATCTCCGAGCTGTTTTCATAATCGCCCTGCACATATATATTTATACTCTGCATTAATTATGGTGTAATATTCTTTTCCTTGTAAAAAGAATTGAGCAAAATTGAAGATTTTCAAGTAAGGAAACAAGAAATGTAATGGACCTGAAAGGTTCATCACCAATGTGTCTGATTGCATCAGATGATGATGATGAGGAGGAGGAGGAGATGTTGCCTGAACCGACCGGAGAAGCGTTGATGGAGATTTGCTGCTCCGTGAGGATCGCTTTACCGAAGAGAACGAAGGGTGCTTTCCCGACGCGATCGTCGGGCTTTTTTTCGGTCTTCGTTTGGGGAGGAGACGAGTTCCCGATGGTCAACAAGCAAGAAACGTCCTCCGGGGGGTCGAGGATTGCCGGTTTAGCCGCTGCATGAAGAGACGCGGCATTGTGGAGGAGGGGATGGGGGTGGAAACCGACGGGGAAAAACCCCCCGAAGTGCAGCTGTTGTTGTTGTTGGTTGTTGAAATGGAGATCCGATAACGGAAATCCGTAGTGAGAATATTGCCTGGCTCCCTGCATGCCCGCAGGGGTGGGGGTGGTGTCGGGGAGACAACCGTACGGGCCATTGGTGGGACCACCGCCTGCAACGAGGAGACGGGGGTGGTTGTGGTGGTTGGTGGTGGTGGAATAAGCCGCCACCGCCGGTATGCCATCAAACTGGAAATCCGGATGTTGAGGCAATCTAAACTTCTTCCTTGGAGGCGAGAACGGGGAGAGATGCATAGCCGAGTTCATGCTCGATACCAACTCTACAAGCCACGGGCTCACCCGCTTCACGTTCTGTAGCAAGTCTGGCTCGTCCCACGTCACCTGGAAAACATAAATCGAATCGAATCGAGCTCCATATGTCAATTAGTTTTGGGATGGAATCTCACAATTATATACAACTTAATCACCATCAAATTGCTAATATCTAAAAAAAGTGTGTTTACATAGACAGAATATCATATTGTTCCCCATAAGCATAAGCGTTAAAGTAAACAATTGAATTCAATCTTTTATTACCTGAAGAAGTCTCCACGGAGAATCAGGCCAACGTAACGGGTCGGCGACTTGAACGGAGGATATAGTTCCCATGAACCAGCTGATCCGGGAAGAATCCTCGGTCTCGAAAGGCATCTTGAACCTTAAGCCCGAGCACCAACGGGCCCGCAATGTCGCCTTGACGACACTTGCTTTAACGCAGAACTCCGGAGTTCCGGCTCGAGGGTAATAGATCACCTCGAACGCCTCCCCTCGGACGGCCGAATCGGTAGCTTCGACTACCGATTCGGCCTTCACCTTCCCGTTGTTCCTTCCTCCTCCGCCACTCGTTAGCGGCACTCTGTTATCCCCTTCCCTAAGAAATGCACTATAGCCCCCTCCGTACCCGCCGACCGGATTCCACCCCGAAGAAGGGCAAATTCCCCTTTTTGCCCTCCGAATCCCGACGCAGAGATCCCCGTTCTCCGCCCTCAGGAACACAATTGAATCCCCTGCAACAAGCTTCTTGTGGTTCACGAACGTACTCCACCCGGTGGTCAAAAGATGGCGCCGCGGTGTCCCTCTGTAAATATGTCTGAATTTCCAAGTCTCCCCGTGAACGTCCTTTGCTAGGATGGTTTGCACCGGGGGGTCCGCCGAGTAGTCCAACCGGGGGAAAATGGTCTCCGCACAGTACCTCGGGACCGAAAACCCACCACCGTTATTCGCATCCGATTGGGTTAAAGTCTTGGCGAAAGAAGCCGGTTTGTCCGGGTTATCGGCGGCCCTCTTGACCCCAACTGCCACATCATCTTCTTCTTCGTCTTCCTCGTCCAAATCAGATTCGTTTCCATTGACGGGAGCCAATCTGATTTTCGAGAAAACCTCGTCGGTTTCGGGATCTGCAAGGTACTTAACGGCAGAGACTCTGCAAGGAACATAGGGTGGGATTCTTGGAGAATTGCCAAATTGGACATCGCCGGAGGCATGCTCGGCGTGCCCCTGAGGGAAATAGAACACCTTCGAGTTCACCGCCGGCATTTGAACCATACTGCCAGCACAGGCATGCCATAGCTGAGAATCTAAGCACTTTTCTGTTCCCCTTAATGAATCTTTGGAATCCAAGAAAGTTAACATCTTCTTGTAAATATGACCAAATACAGATTCCTCTCAATCTCAGCTCATTAATTCGTGAAGAATCTATCTAAATTCTGTAACATACCAAAAAAACAGATCTTTTAGGTAAATTATTTATGAAATCCAAAACAGAATCTGGAAATAATAACATCAGCAGAAGCAGATTCAAGATTCATACCTGAGGCCATGTTAATTGCAGCTTCAAAGCTTTCCTCCCAGTCATTCATAGACAAAATCCACAGAAATGATTCTGATTTTCCAATAATTCAACAGAATTGGACCTATCTTGACCACTTTAATCCCTTCCCCCCCAATTGCCCAACAAAAAAGAAAAAGAAAACAAAAAAACCCTAAAAATCCAGAAAATTCCTAAATCACTCTGGGCTGAATTTCTGTGCAATCCCAGAAAAAAAAATGAAATCTTTCTGCAAATTATGTGATCCCACCCACTGAAAGTTTCAAACTTTAGACACTATCTTCATACCCAGAACTAAAACAAGCAAACATAAGAAGAGCCAATTTTAAAGCAGGAGAAAGAAGGGGAAGAAAACCCTAACAAAAAATCTGGACCATGGAAAGTGAGACCTCGTTGATGTGCTTTTACTTCAGCCCTTTGTCATCTTTATGTTTCAAGACACACACATATAATACAGATAGAGCTGTGTCTTTCATGGATGCAATGTTCACATGTATTCATCTATCCATATATATATAATGTCTCTCTCTCTTAAATTTAACTTCCCCTGTTCAAATGTATGGAAACAAAAAAAAATTACTACTTCGCAATTGTTTTTTAAGTGTGGTTTGGATTAGTTTTTAAATATAAATAGTTTTAACTTATAAACTACTTATAAAGTGACTTAAATAAAAAAATAGTCATTTGAGTCATTCATAAAATGTTAGAAATAATTTTATAAATAATTTGGTCAAAATGGATAAATAAAAAAATTATCTTTAAGATAAAAGGTAAGATCTTATCTTCTATGACTTACAAGCGGTTTATAATCACACAAAAAATATGTTATCAAAAATTCTACAAAATAAATAGTGACATGAGTATATTTTTTATTGAATGCGTAACGAAAATGAGTAAAGAAAATGATTAAAATTTGACAATGTAAATAGTAAACATGCAACTTAAATTGGGACAGTGAGATTAATAAAGAACTTTGATCGGCTTATAAGAACAATGAAACACCACTACTACATAATATACTTTTTGAATCAATTATTTTTTATCTTTGAAATCAGCTGTTAACCGATGTAAAACATAGCGATGTAATTGGTACAAATACTTTTGAATCGGTTGTTCCATCGATTCAAAAGGTACCTCCCCGAACTAGTGCCAGTCTTGGGAGGTACCTTTTGAATCGATGGAACAACCGATTCAAAAGGTTATGTTTTTTAATAGATTCTCTAA